AAAAAAATTTGTATATTTGCAGAAAATTAAATACTTTTAATTACAAGAATTCATTGAAAAAAATTTTCCCTTTTAGAATATATATATATATATGTTACTGTGAATGACCGAAATTGGTGGTTGTTGACTTCAACCGGTGATGAATGTTGACAATCATCTAGTCGCTTTGGTAAATGTACGAAATTTATACTAGATCTAGTTAAGTGCCACTGGCCTACATCAATGTTTTTTTAAGGTCAAGGGCCACTGCCTAGTTTGCATTTAACCAGTACTCCGATGTTTTTCCTAATCTATCCTCAGCAGCTATTAAAATATCAAAGAAATATAATAAGATCAACGAATAAATCAATATCAAATCGGATGTAGCAAATATTTCGGACATTCACCAAAGCGACTAGGTGATTGTTGGCATTCACCGGTGAAAGTCGGCATTCTCTTCATTTCGGTCATTCACAGTAACATATATATAATAATTCTCTAAAAAAAAAGTAGCTCTTTAATCACACATCGGCAGCACAAACAGAATATTAATATGAATTTGAACGTAACCGAAATGAATATGTAGGAACTCGAACTTCACTGCTCATCCAGTTGGTCGATTAAAAGGTAAACACCATATCACAGTGATTTGTGAGACCGAACTAATGAACCTCTAACTTCTTGGGCTCATTGGAATGGAAATCAGCTCACATCAGAATTCGCGAGGAAGTGCGCGTGCTTGTGAGATAATCCGACTGATATTTGTCACAAACAGTGTTATTTGCTGTCTTCTTGTTTGCGGATATGGTATGCCGTGGTACTGATTTCATGGAATCTATTTATATTTTCAGAATTATTATATTTTTAAAATTTAGTTTAGATTAAAATGTTTACATTTGTTAAATAAATTAGTTTGTTTTTGTACCTCCTCACAACCTTCTGATGCAATATTTTGGTGTCAAGAGCAGAGGTTGGCTCTGAAAGTCGGAAGCAATAAAGTTGTCACTCTTATGTCTTATTGCCTCTAGCCTCTTCTTATCACCACAAATAAAGTTAAATATTATAAAATTAATTTATGCGACTGACATATTTATGTAAATCTTATGAGAACATAAATATCCTTTATACAACTAAAAACATGCCTGCATTTTATAACAGTTTAAATGAGTTATTTGTCAAATCAATCCGACATGAAAATTGAAATTACTTGGCAGCAAAATAATCAACCACAATCAATATTTTTAATCAATAAGTATTACGGGAGGCAACTTATTAAATAAGCTATGGTCAGTTTGTCAACTAATTTCAGCAGAGAGAACTTACCAGTACACATCATGTAAACAAACCACCATATTTTCGCACGTTTGAAATTGCACAATTATTCGCTTATAAATTTTATTTAGCATTTGTTATACTTTTAAAGCATGACCTACCATCATTTTACGCTTACATTAAGTTTAATAATTTAAATATACACTAAATATTAGCCAAATTTACCAAATATTTTTACCAACGAGCTGCAGATTAGTGTAAACTTTATCAATTAGTGGTGTTAAGATTTAACTTCACCCTTTGACGTGTTTAAAACGTACGATTCGGTATTAACATGGAATAAAATAATCATTTTCACATATTTTAGTCTTCCAACACTAAATTCGGATAGGTATTACCCCACAGTTTTCACTGATTTGCAAAAATTTTCATTGTCATCATGAATAATCTTCATCATTTTCAGATTCGAGCATATATTTAAATTGCAGAAGGAATTTCTCTCTCTTTCACTCGATTTTGAAGGTTTTTCTTCTTTGACTTCAAATTTAGAATCTTCGTTTCAAAATCATTTGAAATTTTGATTCTTTATTTTCGTTCTCCATTTCAAAATATATCAAAATTTATCTACATTTTCGAAATTTTACTTTTTCATATGCTTCTTTGTTTTTCCAAAGCAAAGCTTGAAATCTATCTACTTTTTTTTTAAGTATTCGATATAATTGAAGTGAAAATGTCGCTCAAAACAAATCAATCATTTGCTAAGAAAATAATAATAAATAAATCTCAATGCTGATAGCTTTTCTTCTTCGAACCAAATATATTATGTTTTATCTGTATTTTTGAAATTCAACTTTTTCGTATGCTACTTTCTCTGACCAATACAAAGCTTAAAATCAATCAACTGTATTAATTTTGTTTTAAAAAATACTTGATATAATTACAATGGCAATGTTGTTTCCATTCTCGCTTTTTATTCAGTCTTCTAAGAATGTCAAATTTTTTGACAATTCTTTTGAGCTTTTCCAGACAAGTTTTAAATAACTTTGGAAAGGGCGGGCAAAAACGCAAGGTTTTTGATCGATCTGGTTAGTGGACAATATGGTTAAACGACGTTTCAATAAATTGTGCTTCACTGAATAATCCTAGGGTTAAAAATGGGTCTTTCAAAATTATATTATTGGGTTAAACTATTGGAACATTAAACTATTAATTAAACTATTAGGATGCTAGGGTCTTTAAAAATTGTATTCGAGTTTTAAACCGTACAACTTTATTGGAAACATTTTCAACTGCAAAATAACAAAATTCAAAATATGTAAAATATGTTATAAGTAGGAATTATTTTTTTTAATTTAAATTATTTTTCATATTTCCCCAATGCTTCTGATTTCCCAAAGAAGTTATCAATATTTAACTAAAATATATTTTAACTCCTTTATTTTCTCTAAGAAAGATGCAAAGATAGGTTCAAGAAAGAATTTGATGATGATGAAAACAACAAATGCACCGTGCTCTGCAAGCCAGCATGCCAGTGAGTATACATAAACAATTAGATTTTTTTTTTTAAAAGAATCACTTTAATTTTTAGAATTAGTTTTTCTTTCTATTACTAAACAGTAAATTGACTACATGATTTATGCTAAGACGTGATTTAAATACACCAATATCGTTTATTAAATAAATTCAGAAAATTTTTAAAATTTCTAAATAATGAAGTCAGTTTAATATTCAAATTCGCAATATGGGAAGGGCAAGCTAAATAATCACATCAAACTTTAGTAAGCATTTGTAAAATTTTTCAATTAGCAAAGCTATTAAATTTTATATTATCAACCGAACATCATTATTATTTAATTATATTCGTACTTATGTCGAACATTTTGCAGCTTAAATTTTTATTCTGGACATNATCCCACTAGTTTATTTCAAAATTGGTGAGTCACACTTCCCTAGTTTCCCTTGTCAGAGATGTTGGGTATTGTTAGATTAAAAAAAAAAGAACTACCAGATAGGTAAACACCGATAAATTTGGGAAATTGGATTTAAGTAACTTTTGGGGCAGTTTTAAAGCATTTATATATTTTATAAGATATGGCTAGTAGATTTTATTTCCTGACCGAATGTGAAGAAATATTCTTGAAAAATATCCCTATATATGAAAAAAAAATTCTAAATATTAACATTTATCTATTTTTTGTGAAAGGGTTTAAAATAATTTTTTTTTTAAAATTTTAAGTTTAACTTAATGTTTTTTTTACAAATATTACGTCGTATTACTGAGTTTACTTTCATTCAAGCTCCATATTTGTAATTAAAAATTGCATTTTCTGATGTTATTTAAACCTCGGGTCTTAGAATAATATCTACAGTAAATATTCTCTCTTTGTACTTTTTCTCTATAACTATCTTTATAATATTTTCACAATCAATGATTAGGAGGAGGACTTATTGTCAAAAGTTGCATTTGAACTCAATATATTATTTTTTATCTCAAACTACATAACTTAAATGGAATCTCGTAATTTTGCTCTAGTTTTTATAGAAACTCTGCATATTGCCTTTGGACGACTTTAAAACTGAAATTGTGATCTTGTATTTCTCTGAATGTTCTCTTGATCAGACGCTTATTAAAAAAAAGCAGTAGTTAAAAATTCGATTTTCTTCAAGAATTATTCAACCGATTTCGTTCAAATTCAGAATTAAGTAATTTAAAATTACGTATTTTAAAAAAGAAAAAAATTGTGCCTGCCTTTCCAATTTCGCTAGAAATTCAAATCTATCTATTTGTGTTGGATTCCGTAACCTTAGAAAATAATAGCAAGCATTAATTAAAAAGCATATATAACATCAACCCCTTCAAGCATTAAGATTAGTTTTTGGTATGTAGAAATCAGATCACTATAACAAAACTTATTTAGGGTGGGGTTTTTTTCGGGGGGGGCCTCTCATCGTACACTGGTCAATTAGTAGAGCATCAGCAAATTAAAACGCAGATTATAACTTAGATATAATTAGAGAAAAGCTTTCTGGTTTTTCGATACATAATAATAATTTTTTTCATTTAGCGAAAAATTTATATACTTCATTGAGAAAAATATTAGTTTTATTATGAATGTAAATAATGTGTTTTATAACAAATCAACAAAAAAAATTTTTTTTTTCTTTAGAGATACCCGGTATGATGTTACTTTATCAACATCAGAATGGCCTAATTTAGAATTTCAAGAATTTGTCCTTGACCGGTGGCCTGACCTCAGACCAGACTTTCTAGAAAATCCAGATGATAACAGTTCCACCCAACTAAATGAAACATTTATTAAGTAAGTCCAGTATTTGCAGGATCCTCTTAATAATAAAATATTGGTCGAAGAAATGATAGTTTTCGTTTATTTTCTGATGAAACAAGATATATTAACTACCATGATATGTTATTATGCTAAGTATTTCTGGAGAAAGAGGAAAAAATGCACAATATAGAAGTGTTTGCTCACCCTCTGTGTGTATATATGGGTCATTCTCACGAAAACTGTCATTTTTCAGTTCATGAAATCCCAAAAAAGTAAAGTGAATAAAAAGCTCTGAAACTTTTTATANACAACAAAATAAATAAATACAAGAAAACACGAAGAAAGTTAAGAAAAACAATAATCCGTTGCCAAAATTATTTACTAAGTAATTACTTTGTAAATTTGTATAATTGTGCAAATCCATTTTGGGCAAATCCGTGGTCAAAATTATATACTAAAAATTTCCTTTACTAAAAAATTTCCTTTGTTAATTTATACAATTTTTCCATGTGCAAATCCATTTCTGGCCAATCCGTGGCTAAAATTATCTACCAAGAAATTTTTCTTTGTTAATTTTTATAATTTTTCCATGTGCAAATCCATTTCGGGCAAATTCTTGGGTAAAATTATTTACTAAAATTTTTTTTATTAATTCATACAATTTTTCCTTGTGCAAATCCATTTCGGGCAAATCCGTGGCTAAAATTATTTGCAAAAAAGGCAATTTATGTTTCTCTTTTCTATTTTATCTTTTTTCTTAAATAAATATTTATTTTCTAATATTATTTAAGGTCAAATTTTTAAATTATCCAGCATAATATTACCTCGCGCACATCTATTTCGGGCCCATCCTAGGTAACTAACAAATCAATGCACAGCATAACAAATCACTTCAGCAATGCAGCAAGAACGGCACTTTAAATTCCTCTAGTTACATTCAATTTGCGCTTTTATTTTCATATTTTGCAATCTGACAATCTTATTGCGAAAATATTTTTAAATCATTCTCGAAAAATTTCCTGTTCATGTAAGTACATCTGATTTCGCTACTCGCTTTATAGTTTTTGTTTTGTTTTATACTGTTTTTTCTTTTTCTTTTATTTTATTTTCTGTTTTTAAGCATTATTTTTACTTATTGTGTTCCACTTTATTTGTTGTAATTTTTGTAAAAAAAATTTTTGAGTGCTCCTCACACTATTGTATTAATATATTTTGCTTTGGCTATATTGATACAATATCAGAAAGCACCCTCTTTTGCGGCTATAATCATGTGGGCTGATGAAAAGATAATATCTTTTATTTTTCAGTTTTTCTTCTTCTTTTAATCAGTTGTATGTTATTATTTTCATTAATTATTATTTCCCCCTCCTTTTGCATAGGTCTATAATTTTCCTTTGTTTTATCTTCTTTTTGAATACTTTTATCGATATATAGTGTCAGTTGTTTTAGAGGTTATTTTAAATTATACAACTCATGATGGTGCCGGTTTTGAATCGAGCAATGTACACTGTTGATGCTGCTATCTAGTAGCGCGTTTTAGAACTAAAAGTTTTTTCGACATTTCTTGTAAAACAAAAAATAAAAATTACTTTTATTATTTTATATGAATTTTTACTTTATACCAAAGCGTAGTTTTAATGTTTATAACGGTTTTTGGAAAGAAGAGGAAAAAACTATATTAAAAGAGCTTATTTTGAAATTAAGTAAAATTCTTGGTAAATTTGAAAAATTAATCTTTTATAATGATTACTCTCTGTTAAATCTACTAACTATAAAAAGATTAGTAAAGGCATTATTACAAATTATATGGGGAAGATTTCAGCGTCGGACCTTGCACCAAAATAATCTCCATATTTTGGCAACTACAGGGCAGTGGTCCTCGAGGAACGTGAGAAAAAAATATCTTAGATGGAAACCAACTCGAGGTGTAACTCGTAACCACCCGCAATCCTCTTTTTTGCAAGTTTCAAATTCTTTTAGTGCGTTGACAAATGTAATTGAAACAAACAGGTACCGATACGAAAATATCCCAATTATGTGTGCATGGCGGTGGGAAAAAAAGCTTTTTAATGTGATTGCATACTTATTTAAATTAAATTATTTGGTATCAGTAAAATAAGTTCTTCTTGCATTTTTATTCTTTTTTAGAAAATTAATGAGCATATTTTAGCAAAAGTTAACTAGAATATGAAAAAAAATATTTACATTTTTTAAGAAAACTAAATATAAAAAAAAACAAGTTTTTAAAACATAAGTTAACTATTCATTAATTTAGTTTTTCTAGTTCTTAAAACAATAGTTCATCATTTATTAAACATAATGTAATTTATTCAAATTAATTTTAAGAATATTCTTATGAAATTATTTTAAAATAATTTCTTCATATTCAATTTTAATGAACTAATGTTTGAAAAACTTTAAAAATTATAAGTTAAATAGTTTGAAATTCTGAGATGTAAAAAAAATTATACGAGAAGATTTGAAGTTGCCCATAGTTCCTTTTAAACTAAAGAAAACTAGAATATACACTTTTTCTCATATAATTAAATTGAAAAAAAATGTTTGTAAACAGTTATTTATGGAAAATTGAAATATATCGAAAATACTAAATTTAAAAAACGTGAATATTACTGCTTAAAAATTTAAATTTAAAAAGATTTCAGAAATTCAAGATAAAAATAATTATTTAAACAGATATAACTAAGTAAGTTTGAAAAATAAAATAGATAGAAAAATTACAATTGTAAATTAACGAATCATTAAAAGGAAAAGCGAAGTATTGGCTTTTGTGACACTGGTTGAAATTGTATCTCCGTCTTTCGAGTCAGTAGGTAGGATTTTAGTTAATAATAAGTTTTATTAATTTTCTAAAAAGAGAAGAAACATATCGATTATTTTTAGAAAAGGCACTGTATTGGTAACGTACATTTAAGAATATTCAACTCAAAAATTACATAATCACTCATTAGTGAGAAAATTAACCCTAGCAGCAAAATAACTTGGGCCCTCCTGGAGCCAATATTCATTAATTTCGACTCAATCAGGGTAAAAAGGATCGGCATTTTTCTGATATTGGTCCTACATAGAATTGTTAGATTAACCTAATATTTTATATCCATTATTCAGCCAATATCGGCCGTATGTAGAATTGTCCATTTCCAACAATATTTTAAAGCCACTTTTTAACCAATATCGGCCCTAAATATTTTTTTCCAACATTAAAAACTATGGCTCAGGGGAAACAGCGTTCGCTTTCCAATGAGGTGAAGCGGGTTCGAATCCCAATGATGGCTGGTCGATACGAATCCACATCTGGTTTGCACCGACAACAGTGCTGACGTGAAATATCCTCAGTTGTAGACGGATCATGGGTTAGAGTCCCTTTACAAACATATATAGTCTGTCATTTTAAAGAACTCCCTTCGCTATTCATCTGGAGCAATGGCGGTGTCTATGGTAACGAGTTGTAACTATTTCAAGTAGGAGTGTTGGATAAATCTTTAAGACAGGTTTTTGCTCGGGTTGAAGACAAAAAGGGAATTTGCACCAATTTAAGCTTGATATATATATTTGTAATAGTTCTCAAAAATTTTTAGTAAATCAAATCAGTCAAAAAAATCTCGATTAAATTTAGTAAAAATTTTCAAAATACGAAGTTTAGTAAAACTAATAAATTTTGCATAAAACAAATGGAAATTAATTTCTATAAATTTAATTTCTACCAAGCTACGATTTTAAAGTTGAGTGTAATAAGTTTGTATCTTTTGCTAACTAAAGTCCAAAAATTTAATACCAGTTCTATTCTTATCGGCAATTTATTTGAACATCCCAAATCTTTTTTTTTTTTTTTTAAATTGTTTAAAGGTTTTATACCAGTTGTTGGTTCGGAGCCTCATTATTTCATATATTTGTAATAAATGACGATAAAAGTATTTTTTGTTAAACTTTACTAGCTTTTCAATGTATTTGGAGGAAATATACAGTAACAAACTTCATACGAGTATTTAGAACAAATTCCAAACGAGCAAAATGCCTTTTATCACATTTAACGGCTGTCAAACCAAACGTCCTTTATTAGGCTAAAAAAATAGTTTCTGTAGTTAAAATACATCTAACTCAAAAAGAGCAAAATACTGTTACTTCACTACATTAAATATTGGTGCTCGGTGATCTATAAAAATCGTGAGAATTGAAAATGTTTGAAGCAATTGCTTTAAAAAAAAAAAAAAAATAGTTGCTTAAGAAACACTTCATTTTAAGATTTTTCTTTTCTTGTTTAGTTAAATCAGTCAGTAAAGTAAATGTTGTATTTTGTCAATAATATTTGACAAAATACAACATTTAATTAAAATGTGACTATTTGTTTTAATATTGTACTTTTTCTTATTATTTAGCAAAAACTACTTGAGAGTTCACATTTTTATTCAAGAAATGAATTATCTTCGGTTTATGGACATTGAAGCTTACACGGTAACGTATCACGAAATTGACTGTCTTTAAAATAGTTTATTAAGTAAATTAAACGTAATTTTTTTTTCATTTATTTGCGTGTATGATTTTTTTACCAGAAATTTTTATTCTACATTTTAGTGTCTTTTTGAGAATGTGGTTATATTTGTTTACATGTTGTACTGCTGGTTTGTGGCATAAATAGCAATTCTTGATGACAAAAATGAAGCATAGTACTCTTTACAGAACGACAGGATAAAATTTTCCCAACTAAGTTCCTTCTTCCCAAAAATCGTGCATTTATTTGCACACATTTCTAAAATTATTAAAAACTTAAAGCTTAGGCTGACAACAAGTACCTAACTATGAAGGTATTTTGTACCTAACAATTTTGGCACCTAACTAGTTGCACCACCTATTTGGTGTGAGATGTGAGCGCCATACTTTGAATTATAATATGGTACAGTTTCTTGTTCTCATTGCTGACAAAAATTGCGTTGTTGTGACGAAAGCTAAGCAAGATCACATTTTTATTTCTATTCTCTTGATAAATAATTTATGATAACTGAATGAAAAATATAACTGAATGAAAATGCTTTTCTAAATTTGATACAACTATAACCGATTTGGATGACACTAAAAAATTATTTTCATGTTAAACACAAAAAAGAAAGAAAAAAAAGAGGAAGATACTTATTCCATCAAAAATCTAAAGACTGACAACTGGATATTATTTAATCACCGATCAAAAACTGCTGATTGCAGAATTGTATTGGAATAATATTGTCAGAAAAAAATTAATAGAGAATCTAAAATCCCGCATGCTTTATATCTCAAATTTAGATAGGGCAATGTACTGTGTATCGAAAGATACTGCTACATGGAGAAAAATTTTATCATCAGTTGATTTGCGAAAATTAAGTAAAGAGGATTAAAAAATATCTTTATAATTTTTCTTCCCCGCCGCAATCCTTTCGACAGTTGAATGCGGTCGGGAGAGAAAGGTCCAATTAATAGCAACAAGTATTAGCATGTAACAGCGAAATCCAGAAAAGAAATTTCTATCTTTCACAGCAAAATTCTACGTATTATTGCAAAATACCTTATGGGCCAGTACATATACAGGATGTCTTAGGATTATTGAGATCAACTTCAAGAGGAGGTAGGGGACATCACAAGGATTCAGAATTGCATAGCAGTCCATAATCGGACGCGTCATGAAAAAGTAGTACGACAAGAAACAAAGCGACACAAGACTAAGATAATTTAAAATATTTTTTGGTCAAAGATATTACATGTGCTGTGGTAGATGACATGTGAAAATATCACAAAAGATGTTCAAAGTTTCTACCATTATTACTACTAGTGATGCATGCGTTACACCGGCGGGGGCAATGGATTGGTGAACTCGCTCAAATACACGTGAATTATGTTGAATATCCGCAGCAGCACAGACGATTCTAGCTAACAGATCCATTTTGGAATCACTATGGGTTGCATACACGCCACTTTTCAGTGCATCCCTAAGAGAGAAATCCATTCTGCTGAAATCAGGAGAGCGTGGTGGTCAGGAAACCAGTCCACCATCTTGTGAACAACACGACATAGCGAGGAACGAAGACGCTTCCGACCAAGGGTATCTATGCAAATTAAAATCCTTGTGATGTGTCCTACCTCCCCTCCCCTCAAAGTTTGTCCCAATAATCTGGGGGACAACCTGAATTATTTATATTATATATATATATATATATAAATATATATATATATATATATATAGAGAGAGAGAGAGAGAGAGA